AAGAGGCCAGTGGAGGCGACAGTGTGATAGAAGGAGCCATGGATGCGGCTTCCGTTTTATCTCTGGAAAACCTGGTGTGGGTGAAACGATCCGCGGCCGACCTAGCAGCCCACAAACTGGAAAACGTGAGTGCAATGTCAGCTTCCAACATAAACCTTGCACTGACCCAAGGCACAAAATCATGAATATATAGGGGCCCACTATCATTTGCTCAATGATAGCTGTCGCTTGTAATTGTCGAGCTAACACCATCCCTTTAGCTAATGGATTGATGATGTTGTCCAGCGGGGTTTCTTGTTGGGTGAATGAATGGTTGCACACTTTTGGTTTAACTACATCTTGGACCAGTGTTTTACAAGCCATGGACCATCTTCGGATATTGCAGGAGCAGCGCATGATGGACCTATTTAAAGTTAACCATTGGATAATGCCCTTCTTATGTTTCGATAACATTGACATACATCTTAGAATCCATAACACACGCATAGAGACCTCCTCACATGTCTTCCACGGAACGCGGGGTTTTTACAATGTCATTCAAGGCTGCTTACAGGCCAAATGCACTGAGGAAGCGGCTAGCATCACCAACTTTCTGAACACAATGGACACGGCGGACCGCCAGCCTGTGGACAGTGGCTTGTTTGCTCCTTTGCCTGCGGACACAGATCATTGGGCCTTAGTGATAAAAGCCCAACTGGCTAAAGCACTCAAGGAATACGCGAACTACATACCTGGTGCGCCTGATGTTTGCAAGCTACCCAAAATGAACACAAATCCACCTCCGGTTGATCCAATTGCCATGCACAAGCCCAACATCGATTTTTTACAGATGATGGACGCACCGGACTCATCGGCAGACAGAGTGTCTCGAGTCCTGGACGCGGTGATGGGCCAAATCGGTGTTGACAAAGACCAATATGCAAAAAAGCTATTAATCACGGGGGGGATGTTGGCTTGAACCAACTGTTGGAGAGTTTGCGGGTCAAACGCTACCCCCCGTGAACTCGTTGGAAGGTATTGATTGGGGGCTTTCAATTTTTGGTGGTGCACACACCACTTGGAAGTTCGCCAAGGCGATTTGGGCTCACCATTGGGGAGATTCTGAGAAAGGCCACGACTCCGGCGTGTGGTGATCCTCACACGCGTTAGGTGGGGAGTTCAAAAAACCTGTAGCCTCTCAGGATTTCAACAGTATCATGCGGTCAATGCAGCTATTTCATAAAGCAAACTTGGTCTATATCATCAAGTACCACTACACCAAATGTAATCTTTACCGGGCAGTAAAGAAAACTACTGACATAGAAAAGTCCTGAGGCAACAGGAAGAGAGCTAAAAATCTGAAAAGATATGCACCTTGTTCCTAGATGTTGGGGCGTCATGATGAGTATTTTTTTGTATTTTACATGCAGATATTGGTTTATGTACTAACAATAAACACTGAAAATCATCAAAAACTCACATGTAACAATACCTGAAATTTGGGTCATGAGTATGAAGACAATATTTTGTGGTCTAAAAACTTCAATAACTTTTGCAATTCTGCTCCAAATAACTCGATTTTTGGTTCATTCAAAAGCTGAACTATTCTCCTTCACACTTCATAATGTTAGTAAGGTGCTATCTAGTCATTTAAACACTCTACATATGTTCAAACAGTTCTACATGAATAGCTTTGTAGGATCTTTTTTAGACCAGCTACAGATGTGATGTCTCAATGAAAAATGTAGAGGAAAGGCTCACCTTTTTAATGCACTTCAAATCGAGTGATTTGTTTCAGAACTGCAAAAGTTATTGATGTTTGAAGATTCCAAAATCCTGTCTTCAAAGTCAAGGGCCAAATTTCAGGTATTGTTACAGGTGGGTTTTTGATGATTCTCAGCCTTTATTGTTAGTACATTAACCAATATCTGTGTGTAAAATACAAAAAAAACTCATCATGACGCCCCAACATCTAGGAACAAGGTGCATATTTTTTCAGATTTTTAGCTCTCTTCCTGTTGCCTCAGGACTTTTCTATGTCAGTAGTTTTCTTTACCGCCTGGTAAAGATGACATTTTGTGTAGTGTACGTTCCAGTCTTCATCACTTGAGCCCATAATGTCACAATGACTAACCTGCCTGCCAATCAAGGACAGTGATCAAGGCAGAAGGAGATATTGATTGGTCCAAAGAAGCAAGCATCCAAAAGCTCTTCGACAAAGTGTGGCTTTGATATTTTGATCAAAGGGCTTTGAAAGCCGCCGGGGCCAACGGTGACCACACACGCTGTCAATTGTAAGGAGTTTTTGCTGTGCAAATAACTACCTACCGCATTAACAAAGACACCCCCCTAAAAACACTAAAACACTTATAAGTATATAATCCAAACATAATAAAATATTAAAACAAATCTCTCAAGCTCGAGTTTCAAGAGCCCAACAAGTTAAAAAAACCATAATTACATAACGACGTAATGTTGAAGTGTTCAATCGACTCAAACAAGAACAGAGAAATATGTAAAGAAGGAGATACGAGTAATGTAGTAATTGATACACCAGAGATGTCGTCATAAGACGAAAATGAGTCATTACATCATCAATTAACCCCAATGTAATTGATCTAACAAATCCCTTATAACTATCGTAGCTTACCTCAATCTACTTCTCTTTCCCATCTTTGGGAAGAGAAGTGAGTAATCTTTATCTTTTTCATTACAACATAGAATAGTTAACCTTATGTTTTATTTCTTTCACTCTTATGTTTTTCTTTATCAAATAGATATTACTCTCTTTGTTTTTGTTCCAGAGATCAGTTATCAAATAGATAACTTTACTAATTATCAATTACCTGAACCTTTGTATAGGTATTAATTACTTTCTGAATCATTCAAATCATCTTATCTTCTCTAATCAGATTGATTGTTGTTGTTCTAGGTCAGAAGCTCTATCTTAGAAACCCTTGTCGGTTGGTTGTGATCTTTGTGCTGAAGCGCACGCTATCAGATCATTGATCCCAGATTCCTAGACTTTCTCACGTAATTAGGACACTCTTTTGTTTGATCACGACAAAAGCAAAAGACCCTCCATCAGTCCTAACTAAGAAGGACCCATCTAATAGCAAGCCAGGACGGTCGAATAATAAAACACCATCCTAACCAGGCGTAACCAAGCTAGAAGTGTGTCAACCCTGATCAGGGTCTGGATCAGTTCAGGTCACGCCAATAACTAAAAGCAACTAGTTCATTTAGATATCAAGCCGACTAAAATAATTGGACTATTTAATGACTGATGTTCTTTTGAACAAGAGAAAAGGAACAATCTTTTTCCTAACAAAAATCATCTTACCAATTTTAAATTCATCCTTTTTTCCGTTACACGAAAAACTCAGAATTAGAAATCCAATCCACAATTATCCGTTTGACGAGAAATAGAACTTAACTTTAGAAAAATCCTTATCGATATTATCGATAACTTTCCTTTAGTTGTAACCTAACAATCATCGTTCGGATCCCTTTTCCCTTTCTCGATTATTTCCTTCCTCCTTTCATTTCCATTCATAGGACGTTACAGATTGTTTAACTAAGTAGTTATCCAACTAAAGTTCCTACTCATCTTTCTCTCACTTTGATAAAGAACTATCTTATCGAATCAACGCTAAAGCGTCACCCGAGGACTCTACACTTTGTACGTGTTTACCTCGGCAGATTTTCAAGTGATTGCACTTGTTGATATACTGGCAGCGGTTTTTTATCCCGCACCATAGGCAGCTACATCTAACAACTGTAGTTTAAATCTTTCTATTTTACGAAGAATTGAAAAATAATTCCTCTCAAGTTTAGAATCAACATTCAAACCTGAAGAAATACATTTCGTAAAGTACATTTCAACTCTAGATCTAGTTCATCCCTCTCAAGAATTAGTCGAGAGCTGACACACGCTTCAATTTCCTGTTACAACTACGCGATTTTGCCACGGTTGTTGAGGCGCATGATTCCACGCGCGCAGGTGACATAGGCCGGCTGATGCAAATGTGAAAGAGATGGTCAGTCATGGCTCAAGGTCTGACTGAGCTTTCGCACTATGCAAGGCATATACCTTGCATTGTGATGCTTCTCGAGGTGGACTTACCCAGAAGTCTAGCGCATGCCATCAAACACTCTTTACTTATTCCTTCCAATGAGCGAGACAACCATTGGATGGCCATTGACAAATACCTGGAAGTGCACATTTTTTGGCTCAAGAACATGTACAATAACACGGTGAGTGCTCTCATGCCAACCCATTCAGGAAGGTGAAATTAATTTTCGGGGGCAAACTCACAGGGGTACAGAACAGATATTGAGCGTCTGACTTATTGCTTTTCAAACAACATTCCTTTGGTGAGTGTACCAAGATAATCATTTCAAAATCAAACGCCTCTGATACAACTTCTACACTGTTTGGTGTTTCCTGATATAGTTACGGATGCTGATGCAGCTTCTGAGATCTCTCTCTGGACATAAAATGGTATATCAGCCCAATATCAACTTGATTACTGAGGCATCCGTGAATGCATTCCTGAGCTATGCTGAGGATCATCTTGAGAAGGATGAACGCGTGCGCCCGGCAAAACCTGCTGTCAATGTATGGCGAGAAGGCCTTTGACACATGGTGGACCTAATCAACTCGGACAGAGCAGCTGGCCGTTCTTTGCGTTTTTGGTGGGGTGCATCGAATGTCTTGTATTCTTGGCAAAATCCAGAACCGCATGGTGAGGAGTAACCGTGGTTAGTATGAGTCAGTGTCTATGTAATGTAAGGAAGCAAAATCCACCTGCAATCCAGCACGCCGTTTTGGCGAGTCTCTCTGGAACTTGTCACTGGCCACGCGCTTAGAAGCACCTGCGCCGGGGTGTTTTGTACTACTGCCTTGTTCAACTAAGGGAAGGTTGGTGTCGCATCCGTCACCCACCTCTGGCTCCTGGAAATCTGGAGAACCACCGGGCACAGCAAATTCCCATCAGATTAAACCATCAGTTAGGATTTTATACTAAAGCAACATAAAGGGTGATTTTAAACATTACATGAGTTGAGTGCCTCCCTTTTGGATCCACCGGGACACTGGCCTGAGAATTACTCGGTTCCGCCGGGGTGAGGTCTGGATTCAGAAACGGTGCTGGTTCCACGTCCACTTTGCAAAGGGCGTTGCTGACAGCGAGATCGTGGGGCGCCATAAGCAGCTGTTCTGACACATATTTAGAACGCAGCAGCTGCCTTCGCAAAGCCGCTTTTGCCTCGGCTGCGTGTTGTTTTGCTATTGCCTTCTTCGCGGCTACCTGATGTTTTGCTTCTGCCTTAGATTTGGCTACCTGTTTCTTCGCTATTCGTTTTGCCTTGGCTTCCTTACGTTTTGCCTCTGCCTTTGCCTTTGCCTCGGCTCTTTTAGCCAGTTCTTTTTTGTTGTTCGCGTCCTCCTTCTCCTGGGCCTTTTGTGCCCGTTCAGCATTTTTTGCCTCGATAGCCTGCAGTCGGGCTTGTTTGCGTTTGTCACGCAATGCCAGTTTGGCGGCCTCTAGTTGTGCTTTGGCCAGAATGCCACCCTCAACAGATAGAGGTGGCAACAGAGGCCCCGGAGCCCGTTGAGTGGCCAGTCTGAAATTTTGAGCCTCGGCAACAATAGGTGTTGTGAAGTCGCCATCTTTCCACTGTGAGAACGTGTCGAACAGCTGCTTGAGTTGCCCAGGGATCATTTTGCTTGCAAGTACCACCAAGAGATCGTTGGGCGCAAAATATAAATCAATGTTCCTGGCCAAATCCCAGGCCAAATCATGACTGAAATAGTCTTCTGGACCCAGGTCTGAAGCGCCGGTGTACAAGGTGTCAAAAAGACTTTGAAATGGTTTTTCCCAAAGAGAAACCAGCGAAGTTAGCAAAGGTAAATCTTGAAAGGGGTCGTCATGCTTGCAGCGAATCACGGAAGGTCTGGCGTGATGTTGGGTCTGAGGCGGCGGGTCAGGTAGGTTGTGCAAAAGGTCAAGGAGTTCTGATTCCCCCATTGCTAGCGCGCTGTTGAAGTTTTCTGTCGTCAGCGCTTTCTGAGCCATCCAAAAAGCCTCCGCCTCCTCCGGTAGACAATTGGAACAAGCACATGGCCATTTTGACCGAAGCTTGCTGTTTCACCACCTCAATCACGGACCAGTGAGCTGTGTCCAGTGGTACATAACCATACCTACCAATGTCCATCAGTTCCAAGGTAGAAGACATACTCACGTAACATGGCGACACTCACTTTAAATCCACTGCTAGGGTCACTCGCAAACACACAGGGGTGATAGAAAGTGCGTCCATCCGATTGTTGTTGGTCTGAACAATGGACGATTTGAAATCAGCAATGTTGTTTTTGCCATGTGTTTGCTTGTGCTCCACCAGGATGATGCCTAGGCCACAACGACCATCACGTCCGCAACGTCCAGCCATCTGGATGAAGTTGCATGGGTCTTGTCGACCCATCACAATCACCCTGCGCACCCGATGCCAATTTTGGCTGAGACCAAGGGAAAGGGTACAGGAAGCAGCGCCAGGGTCCCCTCAACGTAAGCAGCCACCGCTGCGAGCTTCGCCTGGGGGCCAGTCGAGGTGTGGTACCGTCGGCCAAAATTGGAGAGTGGGTTTCCAGTTTTGAGGGTATTGCCTTGGCTGGTGTTGATGATTTGCAAGAATTCTAACGTGGCATTCTGGGTGCCTGAGTACAACAGACTTGGAGGAATTGAAGACGTTGGTATTTGGGTTTTGTGAGGGAAGATCCCTCACAGACAAGCTTTGTGGGGCCATTTGAAAGTCCGGCGTAGCAGGCGTATCTCGGATTGAGCAAGTTCCGCGCGTACGAAAGAGACATCTTGAATGTCCAGCTTGAGGTTTGCCAAGATAGCCCAAATAGCCTGAGGTGTACACGCAGCTTACAACAACAGAAGGGGTACCTTGACTTTTGAAAGAAATCTCCGTGCAAGATCACCGTACAAAGGTCAAAAAACACCGACATCCTGGACCCGCACGTGGCTGGCCAGCCGTTTCGCCTGTCCACTTTTGACCAAGCCCCAACTGTATATCATGTGCGCTTCATCGACCAGGGTGAGGATCAAGCGCGCCTGGAAGCGTGGATCTCGCCAAATCCGGTCAAATTGGCTGTTTATCAACGCAACCTCCGGACTCTAGTATAAGAGACAAGGTGTGTTGGTGTTCTTGATCAGCCCATTTGCCTTATGCAAGTTACAGGATCCTTTGAGATTTTACCACGTAGACAAATACACATTTCCCCTGCAATATTGATTCACACGATTCAAGTGTGCAGTTTTTGCTGGTCAAGTTGATAGCAAGCAGATTGACCAAACTTTTCTCGCTTACCTGAATTGGATACCATAGGTGTAAAGTCAGTCGTGTGCAAGTGTTTTTTCATGGTGATGAAAGAGATATAAACTCACTTGGTTGTCCCCCAGAGCATCTAATGGGTTGATGCTGAGTATGATTGGCGCCGAGGATTCATCGTGTGCGTGACAGTACATTTCCGGTACTCGGCTTTTCCCAAACCCTGTTCCGGCTAGTAAGAATGTCGTGCGGTCATTGAGGAGTTCCACGACTGCATTGTTCTGCTCTGGGCGAGCGGGGTATCCGTGCCGGGCTTGAAAGGGGATGCCGAGTTCTTTGGCCTGTTTGTCTTTGCTGGCATTGAGGAACTGTGGTGATTTACTTGGCCGTGTCGTAAGTGAAGACTGCCGCCGTTGAGCCATTAAGGCAGTGCCATTTGTGGAATGACTCCTTCGCAGCATGAGTTGGTATATTATAAGTCAGTGGATGTTTTGCAAGGGAGTGGTTGATATCGAGGACTTGGATGGTGGTGTTACCACCGGTCCAACTGGGTCAAACAACAGTTTGCCTTGGGCATATTGGAGGTTTTGTCAACATTAATTGCCTTTTGTCCTCAAATTCCAAGTTTTGGACACCGCAGTGCTCTGAAGCCCTGATCATAGCCCTGGGTTTGGCCCGGATGCCTTTTTAAAAGATATCTTTTGAGCCATTTGACTTTTGGAGATTTTGAGAGCAGGAACAGATGCTCAGGGGAACAGCGCATCTCTTTGATAATCATCTCCAGATGGGTTGATTGATGTGTTTTTGATGCAGGGAAGTTCTTAGATTTTTGGGAAAAACCCCGACAGATCTCACGCCAAGTTTGGGACATTGCGTGTAAGTCCCTCCTTTGAGCTGGCCTGTACAGCTCAAAAACGAGGGACTTTTGTTAAGTTTGACACAAGACGTCAAAATTTCCAGGACAACTGTGTTTTCCGTGATCAAGAAGAGTGTTAATTAAAGAGAAACTGGTTAAAAAAACAAATGGCTGTTGTATGCAGGGCAAAAAAATCAAAAAAACCCTTTTTTTCGGACAATTGTGTTAAGGCCCGGACTGACTTGGCATCGTAGAGGACAAGCCACTCAGCCTTCTTCTCACCCTTGATCGGTTTAGACCGGTTAGAAGTGTTAGGAAGATTGTGATCTAAACTAGTGTTTTTCTCTTTCCTAATTTGTCACTTGTAACCGCCACGTCAAACATGTTTTGTATAAAAGTTCCTGTTTCTTCCTAGAAGTTGTTGTCTTTTCTCTTGTCACATTTTCTTATTGTTTCGGTAGATTAGAACTAACAACTAGTTCTCTAGTTTTGTCTCACTCTACAAATTGGAGCGGAGCCTCAAAGGTTTTTTTTTGCACTTGATATCTATAAGTCTGTATAAGACCTTAAAAATGATTGCAAAGTGGTGAACCACCTCTAGAGATGTTTCACCAAACTCAAAATTAAACTTATAATTATAACTACTCAAGCAGTCTGTAAAAGTTTAAGACAGGCTGTAAAAGCCAGTCTTGAACTGCCCTACTATAGTTGAAAGTGTTTAAAAATGGGCACAAGATTTCAAAAGAAAAGTGTCCCTACTTTAACACCTGTTCATTTTGGATTTCCAGTAAATCTCAAACACAGCCAGCATATTTGGCTTGGAGCCAAAAATCCAAGGATTCCTTGGATTCTGACTCCGAGTTAACCCCCATCTGAGGATCCAATCCAAGGCAACGGCCAGGGCCAACATTTGCCGCGGAATTAACCCTTGGGTGCCCTTTTCCTCAGGGGCGCCGTCCGAGGCCTCCTTGGATGTTTGTCTCCCAGCCAAATATGCCGGCAGTGAAAAGACCTTTTTATATTCATTTTCAACCAAATTCAAGAAAATTCAATCACAAGCCACAAGAACACAGAAAGAAACTACAAGATAACACACAAATAAGACCTTTTTTTTTTATCTTTTGTTAACTTTACTTTTCTCAGAAAGAGACTTCAAAAAGTAATGAGAAGAAAAAGAGGTTATTTAAAGAAACTCATTTCAAATCAATTTCAAATGGTATCAAGATCAATCACAACTTGTATCAAGACTAAATTCAAATCATCTTGAGTTTGATTTATAATCAGATCAAGAGCTATCTACAGTCAAACCCGCCCAATCACATAATTTGGGTGGAAGACTTTTCCCATGCATTTTGACAGGTTATGCAATCCTGTTGTCAAATTTGGCAGTAAAAAGTATCAAGATTGAGGAATTTTTCTATGCATTATCACGGGTTATGCAGCTGCGCAGGTATGCAATTGCGTGGGTTCAACTGTATCTGGTTTCACCTGGTGGGTGTGGCGCAAAAAGCAGGCCTTTTGGGTGAGCCTCAAAACCAGCTTTGAGCCTTTCTTTGGTTCTTGGACTTCCTCACACCTTTTTTACACCCCACCAGCTCCAATCAAAGGACACAACCAAGACATTGATATCCAAGTGGATTCCACCCACTTCAAGCTTGTGAAGGCTACTTCTCCAGGATGTCTTCTCACAAGACTAAGTCACAACCTCACATTAAAGTTGATATATTGAAGATGATTTCTCAGGTCAAGATGAATCTTCAAGCCAAAAGCCCAAGCGCTCTGAGTCTATTGACAGTTGATAGGCCAAAAGGTAAAGATGATATCAAACAACATGTACAATTTGAAGACCTCCACCATCTCCAAGAATTTGAAGATAGAGTTCATCAAAATGATTCATCAGAACTCACCAATTCAGGAACCAAGTCACATAGAATCATTCTTTGACATCACTTTGTTCAATAGTTCCAATTCTAATGAAGTATCTACAGATGTGATGGTACTGGATTCTGAATCTCACAATGAATCATGGGATGAAATTGATCTTTTTATTGGATTTTATCTTTCTCATCTTGGTCTTTCCAAGAAGCTCTTTCCCACTGTAGCTCATTCTCATTTCATATGTTTTTGATCTGATTCTTGTTTCTTAGGTACATACATATGTTTTTTTTGATCATCTCTTAAATCTTCAATTTGATCAATCAACTCATTCTCAATCTCAATCAAAACCCTCCACTCAACCTAAAAAACTCTCAATCACTTCAATCTATTAAATCATCTGATCCAAAAATCCACTTCTAACAAAACCAAAACCAAAACCAAAAACACCAAATCAAAAAAAAAGATAAAAAAATTTAAAATCAAATTAGTCCATTAACATTTTTCTTTCACCTTTATATGTATGTACCTAATTATCAAAAACTACTACAACCAAAAGAAGAAGAAAAGATCATCAAAAAGAACATTCTTATAACTTCCTCTTCTTTCATCCAAAAAAAAAATTATAAGAACTACTCAACACAATACATATTTAAGTTTTGTATGTTTAAAGGAAAGAAATAGAAAAAAAAATAAGATGTAAAAGGAAAATCATATTATAATGTTCAAAAAAAATGATAATGCTTTCTTTTCTTCACACACATACAAAATATATATATATATGGTGAAAATCAGTCAAAAAAAAATGATACTCGCCCTTATCACCAACACCATCATCCTGTTTTTCTTCTTCCTTTTAAAAAAAACTTCTCATTTTTTCCACAAAACACTTCAACTACATTAAAATAATGTAAAATGAAAAAAAATGAAAAAATGAAAAATGAACGCATATAAGGAAAATGTTCAAAGATGTGGTTAAAAAGAAGATGTCTTGAAGAAATAGAGATGGGAAAAAAGATAGATAACATGTTGAGATGTAGATTGGAAAGGAAGTCGAAAGATGTAAATGTAAAAAAATATGAAAAAAAAATTAAATGCTTCTACAAATCGAACAGTCTGCTTCATCTAAAGATGATCTAAAAACAATAGGTAAGACCTAGTTAAGAATATGACCGAGTGGGAAAAGAAAGTCAATCATTAGTCCATGTTAACCAAGAAGCTTTCAATAAAGAAAAACTTACAATCAAGGCGATCAAGCTACCGATGATGATTGCATACAAGACACCATAGGTGGCCACAATCTTTCGTCTTTGAGCTCTTTGCTTAAACGAAAAGATTGGAGGTCGGATCTGTTTACTTGGTCTCAACCAAACTATTTGATGTCATATCATCAGCATCAGTGAAGACAGAAAATTGCAAGAAAACGAAAGGACTCACATAACATTGTCGAATGTAATCGGTTCGAGAATGGGATCAAGAGTGGAACCGATAAGATGATCAACACAAAGTGACATGTTAACAGATCCGCACTGAACAATGACATCTGTAAAGAAGAGCATAGACAGATCAGTATCATTCCCTATTAAAACGATCAAAGAAATATGACACAAACCTCGACGATCTTGACGATGAATTCTCGCACAGGCTGTGACCAAGCGTGCGCTCCCAATTTCCGACCATACCATTTCCCAGTCCACCAAGCTCGATTCGTTTCATCGTGCTTAAATTCTCTAGACAAAAAGCAAGCAATCAAGAGCTTAAACAACGCTCTTTGAATCGCGATAGTGGCAATCATTCCAAGGACAGCGTGCGAGATGTTCCAAAGCTCGATGAACCAAAGTAGTTCAAAAAAACCAATCAATCCCAAGACTCCCAACACGTGAGCGATGCCTGCCATCACCGATCCAAACCGGGTGCAGCAGGATGCTAGGGCCGGTCCGAAGAGTAATGATACTACAAACAGCGCTAGCAAGACCGTAGCATTGAAGACTACTGGGCCCAAAGAAACAATCGCTAACCGGAGTAACGCGTTCGCAGGCGGATCGCTAAAGGATTTCACGAACCTGAGGAAAGAATTTATAAGCAGAATCAGTACATGACTCAAATGATAACAGCGGAATTCAGAAGACGGCTCACATGTAAGCAATCGATAGAATCGCGGCCAAAGCCATAGGAGCCAAGATTTCTGATAATAAGATCACTTTCCAACCCGGTCTAGGCACGTCTGTCGAAAGTTTTTCAGAAGGTAAACCTAATCGTTTCTTCTTGAATCCAGTGATTTGTGTTCTAGATAATCGACAGTATCCAATCCACGAATTTGCATGCGATCGACTGTTTCCTCTGCACATCCACCTCAAAAACTCTCGGTAATCAATAATGAAGTCGGTAAAACTGAATTGATGTGGGTTAAAGATGAAAGGAGCCAAACAAAGTGCCAAGACGGAGATCCAAAAGTATAGAATCGATGGAATCCAAAGACTCATGGTGACATATAACAAAAGGCACAACGTTCGCATCCCTAGATAGATACTGGGTCCCGCGAAACGTGAGTAGAGAATTGCGAATGAGATTCGAGTGGTCGCAAATCCACGTCCAGTTGCAATGTATCGCGCTCCACCAAACGTCATGTCGGTCAATAAGGCGTGTGATTGAATCTGAGTACTAAAGACCTCAAAGACGGGTGACAAGGATCCCAGTTGTTTTCCAAGTCGGATCAAGGCTGAGATCACCCCTCGTTCGGTCAACTCTTGCAAGAACAGTGGCAGGAAAGCTATAAAAACAATACACGTCAGTATCGAATCGAGAGTGGTTTGTGCGCCCGCATGACTTACCAATGAAGAAGACGATAAAGATAGACACGATACATCGCTTGATCCAATCGTATGTGGGAACGAGATTATAACAACCAGGTGAACCGATGAATTGACCTTCTGAGTTATATTTACAAATCGTCAGTGAGGAATTCAATGTACCCAAGAATACCATCGTGAACATAAAGCATTGAACAGCAAAGATAATCTGAACGGGTGAAGAATACATGTCAACTCGCCGCATATGAGGATATCAAAGGTAACAAGACATATGACTTACGAGAATGTTGTTCATGTGAAATCCAGGATGAGCGTAGTAAAATGTAAGAAATCGATCAAGAGGCAATTGGGTTCCCAAGTAATAATACTCTCTCGCCAGCATTTGTTCTCCCATACCAGTACCGATCTTAGTTTGGAAATTCAAAATCGTTCCAAAACCTAAATCTCGACCTTTACCACATTGATAATATTCTGTGTGTTTGATTCTACCCCCTCTACCAAACGCGTTCATACCTGCGTAAATATCTTCAGATAGATGTAAACCTTTTTGAGCCTTTGAAACGCCTCCTCGAGTAGTCATAAAGATTGCATTGAGGAAATCAGGATGTCCATAATGTAGCTTTCCCCCGATAAACGATAATGATCTAGCAGCGAGTGTACCAAACGTTTGTTCTTTTCCAGCTGCAACATCACCGAGGACACCGATGTTTTCTGAAAAGATGTATTCTCTTGCTCCGACAATCGCAACAGGAAACTTGGTGAATTCTTTTGCACCCGTCGATGAGTAAGGTGATTGATTGGAAACGTGGAAATCTTCGAATTCTCCAAGCATGTTACGAATCTTGAGACATTCTTCGAGATAGTTATCCTGATTGGCGTCGATCAGCTGAACATATTCACCACGATGAAAAATGATGGCATGGTTCTGATTATCAGATTTCCCATCACCCAAAATCGGATTACCAGGCAACTCCACTCTGAACTTGGGACGTCTTCGGCCATCAGGCAAGATCTCCGAGTGACCGTCGATGAGCGCAGAGTAGATTCGAGTCTCTCCTCCTTCTTTACGTTGCTTGTCTTCGTCGAGATACGCAATGTTGAGATCAGGATAAGCTCTCAATAAAAACTCCGTGTTTTCGACTTCCTCCTTGCTGAATTTGGAGTATCGTTGCATCGAGACCACAAATCGAAACTTTCGCCTAGCCATTCGCTCCAATTCGCGTTCTAACTTGTCCGTATTGCCACCGTATAGTTGTACAATCTCGGGGTTTTCGACTCGATAGAGAAGCTTGATAGCTTTGGAGTAGTTCATGAAACCGGATACCGTTCGATACAACGTCTGAGCGCGAAGAGATGCCCAAATTCGAGTTCGAAGAGTATATTCGGGCGCAGCAGACTTGAAACCGATGGTATAAAATGGAATGTCGTCCGTCTTCTTCTTCTCGACCTTTTCATCGCTTGAACTCGTGTTACCTTGTCCATTGGCAAATGCATAAGATGGAAATACATTAGCCTCCTCGGCCAAGATTTTTGTATCCCGTACAAAGTTGTCCCATTCGACCGGGTGAAGTTGCTTCAGATACTCCAACAAGGTGACTCGAGCGTTTTGGTCTTCTTCTCTAATGATCTCTCTAAGCGAAAGCAAAATCTTTTCGGAATAATGCGGCGTGAGAACGGTAAAGGTAGGCATGGCATCCACAGGCAACGGTTCAGGGATGGAGGTAGTTCTATAATATTGAGAAATACATTAAATCAGTTAACTGTGATCAGAACAGCGAAGAGAAGATAGACATACAGAGATTGAGCAAAGAATGAAATTCGTCTTTCGGCCTCACTTCCAGGAGGAAAGAATTCGGCCTTTAGTCCTTTGTCCTCTTGTGAGATGAAGAACATCGGTGCTCGAAGTGTACGCTTGCCATCATTCTCGCTTGGGACTTGATGCTGATAAAATGCACAATAAATCAGTATTTGATAACATGAACCAAAAGAAAAGAGACAACAACATACATAAAGAAGACGTTGGACATGGTCGATGCTCAGTAAATGCTCACGATACATTGAAATGATGATCGCATTCCAAATCTGAGATACCAAGACTTTGGGCTTATACCTTGCCTGCATCTCGGAGGTAGCAAGAACTTTTGCGTAGATTCGTTTGGGCAAACGTGTGAAGATATCTGACCAAGGTGTCCAGATCGAAAGGCCCAACGAAAAAGACCTTGCAATGGAGAAGACCGTGTTCCAAATCACATACTGGCGAAAAAAGGTTGTCAGAAACTTCTGAAGACAAGGAATAAAAAAATGAAGTTTGGACAACTCACCCATAAAAATGTATCCAAGAAGAATAAAACTAAATCCATCACGAACATGATCGACAATGCGAATGCAGGTTGATTACGACACAGAATATCACCAAAAAGTTTGTCCCGACACCCTTGTACTTTCATACCTACCATGACTTGGATTGGATTTTCGAAACTGAGAGTCAAGAAAAAATATGATTCGACGAATTTACAAAGGAAGACCAGTAACCAAAGTGAGATCGAAGCTGAACGTGCTGCAAACTCAAGATCGGGATAGGCAGCTGTAAAGGTTTGATTAGCAAGATACTTGCGGGCCTTGCCGGACACCCGATCCCCAAACATCCGACCAGATGGTACAATAGAGAAGAGTATTGTAGCCACGACTGAGATACAGAATTGGATGATAGCAATTAATTTGGCAGTTTGTGAGGTTCGATCAAATCCGGCGATGTATACAGTAGGTCCAGCGGTAAGAGCCAAGATGACGACCAGGAAGATCATGCGTCTAGCGAGATGAGAAGTGTTGTTCCACGTGGTGGGGACATATGAGAGTTCGGTGGCTGTAGCAAGGATCATGATCAGAGACGATACTGCCCCACCGAGAGCGACAGCAGACCACTGCATCGCGGTGGTGGGAGTACGCTGATTGGGAAGAGTGTATATAGAAGGAGAACTGGGATCAAAATTTCTCGTAAGCATCTTGAAATTGGAACATCTGCCATGGTGAATATATGGTGTTCAACTCACTTGTAGGCAGTAAAATACCAGTATACACTGATATGAAGTACCCAGATTCGATTGAAATTGACAATCATGTGACCAAATGAACGTTTTTCTAGGTACGTCTTGAAGAACGCTCGACGCCACTCGATTTTATCAAATTTCATGTACCTCTGAGCAGGGGGAATGTCGATCAGGCGAGTCTAAAAGAATCAAGAGCAGTTAGATGAGATTAATCGGGCGCAGAGGTCAAGCAATATGACATACGCGGTCATTGAGTACAATCTTTGCGATTCCTTCAGGGTACCAAAACAGTGAGTTGATGTCATCGTATCCAATGATGTCCATATGATCTTTTTCTCTTCGCATGAATACGCCATCAATCAATTCATATCCTTGATCCCTGAAGAATCGGTAAAGTGGCCTAATGACCGCCCGTAAGTAAAGGCCTTCAGGAACAGGTTCGACCCGATTTTGACATTCTGGAGAACGATAATAATCATCTGCACATTTGAAGATGAAGCAGAGACATTCGGGCATGAACCGAACTTGGGCAGCTTCACCCCAACAAAGAAGATAGAGTGCTATCTGACGCATGCGATCGTAAGAGGACATGTTGGCCATAGCCTGTCGCCAGCGCGTTCGAGCAGATTCCAATGACTTGGCAGAGGCTGATTTCAACTTTTTTGCCGGTTTGGTCGACCCGAGGATAGCATGAGATGTCTGGCCGATTGCATCATCGAGATCGAGTTGAGCGGCAAAGTACCATTTACGATAGTTGGCATGTTCACCACCAATGTAATCGGCGTGTAAGGTCAACAAGGCTTGTGAGGGAGACATGCGCGAAGCCCTTGACTGATCACACGAATCAGATGAGTAAGAGATTTGATCAGCGTCGAGAATCAAGAGAGAAGAAGTCAATCTACTCACATCAAGTTGAATCATCAGATGGTCGTAAACGTTCCTCATCGAGTCTCTCTGAAATCCAAATTTGTTGGCCAAGTCAATGAACACATCTTCGATTTCTTCTTTACTGAGAGGAATTTGTGAATCTGAACTCCAGGCAGGATAGGCTTCTCGCAATCGAGAGTAAGGATCGGCTCCATGACCAGTAGCACCACTTGAGTATCCATATGACTCATAGGCTGTAGGGGCTGGATAGAGAGAGACCAAGAAAGCAGTGTGAGTATACATGAGTTTAGAGTTGAAAAGAAAAGGATTGATAAAACTGACTAGAAGAGCCACTCATGGGTTCTTGCCCCCGGAAGCCTGCATTCGGAGCACCCATCAAGCTTTCAGTCGAAGGAGTATAGGCAGGTCGACTGCGAGATAGATGTCAAGGGAAGAGCAAGTGGTCGAATAGATAAATGACGGTTGAGGTGAATCGGATTGACCAAGAGTTGCAGTTGAGATGTCGGGTGAAGGAAGCGTAGGATCAACGTTGCAGGTTGAGGAGGTAATGTTGAGAGTGAGGATGTATGAGTGTTGGATGACAGAGTGTTGTGAGTGAGGATGATGGCGAGATCAAAGAGATTGGGTGTGATGAGATGATTGATTGGTTAGTGGTAGCAATGGGTTAAGAGAGAGAGAGAGAGAAAGGAAGAGATTAATGTAACCGAGGATATGTTGTAGAGCGAGGAAGTAGAGAGAATCGGATCGAATCGAAAGTAAGTTCAGTAGTGCATCCGTGATGTGTTTTGGCAGCCAGGTGAGGAAGTGGATCGTTTAGATGACCATCGGAGTGTGGTGGTGGTGGTGGTGGTGGTAGAGGATTGAGAGTGAGGATGAGAATGTTGTAAGGTTGGAAACCGAAGATGAGAGAGAGAAAGAGATGAATTTGAATTTGTAGGGTTGGTTGTTGATAGAGAGTTGTAGTTTGTTGTTTTCATCGAGTTTCGGTTGATAGGATAGTGATTCGATTCAGATCATTCAAGTTCCGAGTGTGAATGTTGAAGTTGAATCAAACAGCAAACCGTTAAAGGGACAAAACACGCAAATAGAGAAAAGCAACAAGCAAGCAAACGAATGAAAATCGTCAAGTGAAGTCAAGAAAGAAAAGGGTAAAAAGCGGTTCAAACGTTTAATCAGCTAAATTGAATCGATGGATTTCGATCATTAAACTTAAAGCACCATGATCCTGTCAAGGAATGGTACCTGTTTTTGGGTTGGGTTTGGATTGGATTGATAGAAAGAGAACTAACCTATATGGAAGACCTGAATCAGCTTCTCTATCATCATGATATTTAGGATTAGATTGAAAGTTGGGATGATTTAAATTAGGATTAGGTTGATCGGATAAACGAGAATGATAACCGATATCCGAATGATGCTCTTCAGTCTCTTGACCGAACTGTGATGGATGTACCACTCCAGGTGAGAATGGATTTTGATGACTCATTAGTTTGGAATTTCGAAATCCACTGTTTTGATGATGATGTTGTTTGTTTTGCTGTGATGTTGATAAAGAATGTAATGTATGATTGACGGTGTAGATGAAAATCAATGATGCTGTGTAATGTGATGTGAGTAATGTCAGTTGATGGTAAGAGAAAGCTATAAGATGATGGTCTTGGAATGTATGATAATGTTGTATCTTCTATTGATCTCGTTTCTTCATTCACTAAACTTTGATTCGTTTTTGCTATGATGAATTGATGATGGTCTTTGACTCGATTGCTTCAATGACTTACGTAAAACTTCAATTCGAATGATCAAGTGATGATTGAGCTTGGATTTATAATTCGGATGAAAGTGAAATTGATGGATTAAAGAAAAGTTGAAAATCAGTTGGTCAAAGTGTAAGCCAACCCACCACCAAAAGTATGGTTGAATCAATCAACTTCAATCAAGAGTTTAGGTTGAGTTTAAGGTACATAAAACTTAGATAATTTTCAATTTTGGGATGATTTTAGAAGATTTTAGAGGTTGAAAGACCTTCAAAGACTAAAGTGGTGTTCTAGACTTTAGTTATCATCCAATTGGGTAAATCACTTCACACAGGGATCAAGGGTCCTAATCCTAAAAGGGTAAATCAAATCAAATCAGATCACTTGATAAGTTTAAAATCATGGATTCAAGATTCAAAAAGATGGGTTCATGGATCATCTATCTAACAGCAGTCTGACTCTGAATGACAAGTTGAACAAATCAAGTCAAATCAGAAATCCAGGTCAAGGATGTGTGTGGAGAAGTGAGGAATTACAAAAACAGACATCAATCAAAATTCACTTTCATCATGTCTAAATCACAACCGAATTGTAAGGGTCATGTGTTCTGGTCAATTCTAAGTTTCCACATAAATCCCATCACTCCTTCAAACAGATAACCTTATTCCCTCCTAAAGCAAAAAGAAAATCATATACATCATCATTTCTTCTGACTCAAACCACACGTGTATGTTGTCTAGTCTACAAGTCATCAAGTAACCTTACTGACCATTGTCTTTCTTCGCATTCTGAGCACCCAATTCTCCCAAATTGTTTAAGGTATGTTGAAGAGACTTCACGATAAAAAACCCATTCCTGATGATCATAAATCAATGTTCATGAGAGAGATAGATTCAAATCCTTTGAAGTATATAATTTTGTTTCACGAGGCATCAAGTTAGCAAGAGCAGGAAGCATTGGAATTCTTTTACAAAAAGAAATTTCTACAACGGATTGACAGAATCCTGTTGAAAAGATGGCCAAATGAATGATTAGATTCAGGCGTGACTGTTGTTTGATTTTCTGCTGACAACGACATGGTTGAGATTGAATTTTCAATTGTAGTCTTTTCTTGATTTGTCGAAGGAATGATTAAGATTCAAGGCTTTAGAGCTGAACCAATTAAGATTCTCTTGATGGTAATCTTGAATTCATGAGATCTCAAGTCTCCATTGTTTGAATCCTTAAACAAAAATAAAACTCAAGCACCCTCTAATTCCTGAAGTACCTTTGATCCATAAGTTGTAGACATTATGCCATACAAAAACCTTCTAATCTATGATGATCTGAAAGGTCTGAATTCAATTTCAAGAGATTCTTACAATTTATCTGCAAACAAATTTGAACCAGGTTTTGGCTTGCTATAGATCAATTCATTTTATAAATAATAAAAAATCAAAGTCATCAAAAACCTCTTCCTGATTCATTTTTTGATGGGATTAGTTTCTTGGTGAACCTGAATATAAATGAGATCGCTTGACCAGATATACAAAATCTATTTCAACTTCTTGTCTTTGGATAAGGTTGATGATCTGATGCACAAAAAAATACAGGTAGGCCATCTAGTTTGCACGACCTTGAATCTTATCTCCAGACTCTGTTTATAGATGTTTTTTTTGGAAATGGCTATGAAAAAAAGTTTGGTTCCCCACTACTTCTGTTACATTCAACTACTGGTACGGTCACATTCAAAGAAATAAATCCAAAAAGTCGTGGGTAATCTCAACAGGCTTTGAAGCAGGTTAAACAATTCGGATTGGTACAAAATCTGAGCAGCTTGTGAGCCACTTCAAACGAGCACTTCATAGGTTACCAATCTGTTTGATACATCCCTAGTTTGTTAGTTCTGGTCTGCATAGTTTCCATACAAACTCGTGTTTTTTTAATTGACAAAAATATAAGGGGTATCTTGATTTTGAACGTAGATAAGTAACTTTGATCGAATCATTACTCAAACTTTCAATGAGATTCCTAATCAAAAAATTGTAATCACAAGCATTTTGATTTAAGCGTAACATACCTTTACATCAAGCAATCTTCATAGCAATTTGAGGTGACGTGTTACCTGAAAAAATTGTAAGAAAGCAGAAGCTGATGTTAGTTTATCGTTCGATATTTTGGATGGATTGTGAATAATCAATGTCTTATCGAAACAGACTTGATTGATCAATGCAACAGGGCCTGGCCCGATTCCAAGTACAGTCCTACTCCCAGCTGCTATCTGAGTCCTACCACTAAGAAAAAGAAAGTTATAGATTATTAATCAAACTGACTTTGAAGACTTTAATGATCAGAAATCAGACTTACGCATCTTGGATATCCCTTGCACATAATCCTAAACTTTTGGCTTTGGCTTTAAGTAATAACATTTCATCTTCTTCACTAGTTCCATCAGTTGATTCAAGTTTTAATGCTATCTTGGCTTGTCCAGTGTATTCCCAATGTTTTAGTAAACTTGGATTTCCTTTTCGAAGTGCTTTATAACAAGCTAAGGTAGCGTGACTTTTTGAGTTTTTGTTGAAAAAGTAGATTTTTTGTTTCATTAGATCGTTGGTTTTTTTTTCGAAGAAGATCTGATCAAGTTTAATCGCTTACCTGCATTGTGCAGCAATTTTACCCTTGGTCATTCCTAAATCTGTTCGTACAACTAATACCTACATTATTGGATTTAGAAAACCGAAAAAGAGATCATACAAGGTTTAGTAGGATCAATAGGAATTTGATAGTTTTAATCAAAGTATTACCAATTTACATTCCTCCATCGGTCCAGCTTTTGCATTCATCACTTCATTCTCACTTCGATCAGCTAGATAATTGATGTGTGTGTAGTTCCAAGTGGCAAATCAGGATGGATCATCGTTTGGTTGAATAGCTCCAATGAAAGAAAACATACAATCTTCATCTTCATCACTACTTGGTGATCGATTTGAACTGCTTCGTGTATAACCTAAAGATTTTCCTAAGCCGACCCAATATCCGATCATGAACGAAGAAGCCATGATCGCTAAATAATTGAACATCGTTTCGGGAACTATACATTGCAGAAGATAAGAATCAAAAAATGCGTTAACCATGAGGTCCATATGTATGTATGTATGTATGTATGCGAATTGAAGATTAAAACTGACTGATAGAAGAGGTTGAGGATGGCATCTTGTGGTGTTTTGAGTGTGATTCTTGACGAGCATTGACTGTGAGGAGATGTTCTGAAATCAGAAAAATTGGAAAGCGAACCCGTTTTTAGCATTCCGAAATCCGCAGCGTGCATCTCTGTATCGATATATGCGCCTACTGTATCTTGATCAAACGCACACCAAACTATGTAGTGAAGTACTTGTGAGTCAAGTTGTTTGAATCAAGCTTGAGTGTGATGGTTGATGACAAATCCAAGACAGAAGGGATATGAACCATTAAGATTTGAAAACAAAGGAATGCTAGTCAAGAGAGCTTGAGTCAGATTCAAATCAAAACTCAAGAAAGCTTCAAAGGAATCCAGTAAACACGCTTACTTGTGATAGCAAGTTGTTTGAATTCGAATAGATAAGGGCCCGTTCGGCTGGAACCCAAAAACAGTTTTTGGCCAAAAACCCCACCAAAGCCAAAAACCGTTTTTGGGTCAAAACAGTTTTTGGTTTTTTTCAAAAACGCCGGTGTTCGGCAACTTTGTTTGATCAAATACAAAAACCGTATTTGATCAAAAATTCATCGCTTTTGAAAAACAGCCTCAAGGCTGTTTTTCAGATCAAAAAGTCTTTTTGCCCCTCACCCTCCCTCACCTCCATCAATCACCTTCAACTCATCTCTATCTCTCCACATGACAACACCCTTTCATTTCCTTCACACACCCCTCTCCGTTACTCACACTACAAGAAAGATAATATTTTCTGGGCAGAAAATTAAATTATCGATACACAAAAATATTGAGAGGCCAGGAGGAGAGCAAAAAAAGAAAAAAAAATGCATCTTGTTCCCCGCGTTGAGAACTTCACTCTGCATATTTTTCCGTATTTTTACAGTCCATATTGATAAGTGTACTAACAATAAACCTCCACAATCATCCAATTACAACCTGTAACAAGCACTGAAATTTGGCTCATTAGTGTTTAGAGAAACTTTTGATTTCTGAAAATACTCATAACTTTTTCAATTCCGGTCCAAAACGCTCGATTTTGGGTGCATTGGTAAGCTGGAATTGTCCTCCAAATAGCTCATAATAGGACCACACAGCATGCTGGTCTGCTAAAAAAGATATCACCTTTTTTATACCTTTGTACATACAGATCCATAGAATGATTGGCATACTAGCTACATAGTTCTTGATCTTATGAAAGTTTGAGAGAAAGAGTTCAGCTTTCTAATGCACTTAAAATCGAGTGTTTTGATGCAGATTTGACAAAGTTATAGGTGTTTTCAGGTATCAAAAGTTTCTCTAAACACCAATGAGCCAAATTTCAGTGCTTGTTACAGGTTGTAATTGGATGATTATGAAGGTTTATTGTTAGTACACTAATCAATACGGACTGTAAAAATATGGAAAAATATGGAGAGTGAAGCTCTCACCGCAGGGAACAAGATGCATATTTTTATTTATTTTTTGCCCTTCTCCTGGCCTCTCAATATTTTTGTGTATCAATAATTTAATTTTCTGCCCAGAAAATATTATATTTTGTGTAGTGTCAGCTTTCTTTTCTATTGTTCTCGTTTATTGACTCTATCATCATTTCAACAACTACTGTCGTCTTTTCATCGACTATTGTTGTCGTTGTTTACCAACTCTCGTCATCGTTCTTTATCAACTCTCTCGTTGTCTTTTTATCAATCCTTTTGTCATCTTTTTAAAAAGTCTATTGTTGTCTTTTATAATACAATAGAAGCAAATGAAAGACTGGGTCACTGTGACAGATGTACCTTTGCCAAAAGCTGAATACACACTAGATACAAGTTGCTCTATCTTTCAGCATCTCGACGGAGTTCAGATTATTTGTACAGAAAGCTCAAGTCTCCCTCATCATCTGCATAGGCCTATGGAGGTTGTCCAGGTGCAACTGTGATGGATGGATGGATCAATTTGAAAATGATTCAATCAAAAAAGTCTTGTCATTTCATCTTGAACAAACAGTCGAAAGGTGATCAATGGTCAACAATGATCATTTTGATCTTTTGTTGACCTTTTTGGTCGACTGTTCGGTAATCTAAAAAGGCCGAAAAACGAAATCTCTATCCGCCCCTCAAAAACTATTTTTCAGGGGCGGATAGAGATTTCGTTTTTGTGTAACAATTTTTGGCTAAATCAGCCGAACGGGCCCTAAGCCATCTTGATGGTCAAACTCATACTCTTCTTGAATCTACTTGCTTTTCTTCAAGGACCTCTCAACCACTCTGATTCCTTTCTCCATGATCACTCTAATTAGCTACACCCAAATATCCAATGTGCTTAAGACAAAAATCACCGGAACAACGGAGGAAAGTTCAAACTGGCGCCAAAAATTGTGTCAAGCCGACTCACATCCTGAGATCACACTGGTTCTCAAATTATTGACATTGAGGAAACCGTCGAGGCTCTATGAAGACGGAGCTTTCTGTCTTCTGAGACTATAGATGTTATGACTTCACAGAAAGACAGACACCGACAGAACCTCGTATTTTGAAACGACTTGTTTCGTTCATGATACTAACAACATATATCACGCCGGAGCAGCCTCGGCACCATCTAAAGGTGAACTTGACCGGCTCACTCAGATGCTCCGCTGTGATCAACCCGAAACAAATTGATATGCTGAGCACATGTGCAAAAAAACCGAGGTGCATTTACATATCTCCCTTTATTCATCGACCAGAGTTTTGGTCATACAAAGCCAAACATCTAGGAAATTAATTAACATGGCTTTCTATGTACAATGTATTATGTATGCTGCCTTCTCAAAGATTCTCTGCTGATTATCTGACCCAAGCTGGTCCCACCTCTTCCAAGCTGGTTCATCCAACTCTGTATCAAATCGAATTGGGCAATTCTTCTTAAACTTCTGTGCAGCTGTATGCGGCGCTTGAATTGAAATGCTGTAGACTATCAATTGTGCTTCCAAGGGGGGGGGGAGGAAGGAGGGGTCAAAGGAGAATCCTTCACGCGATCGTACGACTAGGTGACTTGTTCCTATCCGTCAATCCTGTTATGTCATCGACCAGTTATTCTTATTGATATTTCTTTTGGTCCAAGAATCAGTATCGCATTTCTAAGCCGCGTCCTGCGAAATCTCTAGCGCGCGCGCCGCATCGCGTATTCATTCGTAGTACAAGACATACATTTCATTTCTGCTTGCCTTTTGATCACTTTGTCATTAGTGTTCCTTCTTTCCAATACCCAGTTCACATCCATATTTTCCTGATCGAAATTTTCCAAATTCAAACCTCCAACCTATTCAAAATATGCCACTCGATTTGAACCCGCTCAAGAAATCTCAAGTCAGTCAAACACCTTTCTTCTATGTCATTTACATTTTTTTGGTTGTGAGCTCACTAAATTGTGTTTGATGACTTTAGAATTTGAAGACATCCACTTCAACTGCACGAGAACAATTCATCGAGGCCGTCCGACGCGACCTTAGCTTCGATCAAAATGGTTCCAAGATCGACATGAACAAATCATCTGGCCAACTGATTGCCAAAGTGAATCGATTCAATCCTTCGATGGATCGGATGAAAGGAATGACTTTAATCAAGAAGGGTGAAGAAGATTGGCTTTGGGAAGTAGAAGGAGATCCTCAATTGATTGATCGTCGATTGGGAGGAAAAGCTAAACGACCGCGCGATAAAGCTTCTGATGAAGAAGATTATCAAATAGAAGAAGATCAAGAAGTCGTCAATTCTTCTCAAATTATTCATTCCATCGAAGCTCCCGACGCTGTGTTATCCAAAGACAATGATACATCTTTACCTACCAATACCGTTATTCGTGCCACTCGATCTCCTAAACGGATTCGTACTTCTGATCCATTAGGACTTGGAACGCTTCCTAAACTTTCGGATGAAGCGCAAGAAAGCGGTCCATCAAGAAACACTCGTTCTCGAGCGAGCGGCAGCTTTCGTGGTCGTGGAGCTAAGAACGGAGTCTCTCCAGCACAATCTCGAAAAGCGAGTGGGAGCACCTCACGTGATCCTAAGGAGAAGTCTTCTGCGGCAGCTCCGAAGGGCAAAGGGAAGGGAAAAGCTGTTGATGGACCGGATCAAGTAGCAGAGATCACCGCTGGAATAGACGGTTTCTCGGTGTTTAGTAATCATCAAATCGATGTTGAGCCTATCAACGGATTTATCATGATGGGACCTGCACCGGAGAAAATAACGATGCCAACAATGGACGCTGCCGATTGGGCACAACCCGCCGGCCCTAAACTCAAAGTAGGAACATGGTTAGGTAAGACTTGAAACTTTCTTATGAGCCTCAGAATTATTCTCATAGCTGACTTTCATGCCTTCAACAGAGGAAACCTTACACGCCGGGCCTCAAGCTCCGGTAGACGCCCCAAAGAGTCATGCACCTTCTAGTATCGCTGGTATTCTTTGATCACAGCAAGAGAGAATGTCGACAATGGGGTACATTCATGGTAGAGGCCGATGAGAACATTCTGAACATTTGACGCTTAAATTAACCTAACTTTGGATGCCTGTTCATCCTTACGTTTAGCTTATATACCAATCCATACCTAACCAACCGATCGTGTTCCATTTCATTTAGATTTTGTTGTTTTGTTCTGATTTATTTAGTTTTCTCTTACAGGTTACTTTTCAATATCCAAAGATTTGTTTTTCTATTGCTTTCTTCTTCTATTTGATCTCGAAGTAGTTTTTTTATAATAAAATGCCACGTTTTCTGTGACGTATTATCAACACCGAGCCAGCAGCGCTCGCGATAGCGCTAGCGTAACTCGAGGCGCAGAGCTATCTGATAGCGTTACGGCTATCATAGGAGTTACGTTAGCAGTCCCAGATCAAGGGTTTTTTTTAAAGAGTATACGCATCAGCCCCGCATCCCGTTACGGTAGCCTTGTTGCGCGTAAGGAAATGCAGGGGCCTCCAAAGGCACCATGTCATAGAAAGGTTCTGTCGTTAGGTTTTGTGTTCAGGACCCTTTTTACTTAGTAGTTTTCTCTTGGATCGTTAAGATCTTAAAGTTTAGGATATGTTCCTTATTTCATCATTAACTACTTTTTCTGTTGTGCCTTATTCATACACCACGAACCGTCTTTTCGTTGGAAAACGGTATCCGGGGTGGTACGAAAAAAAACCCAGTAAAAACCGGTTGAGATTGCGGTGAATTATTGGTTTTTGACCCGATTGTTGCCCAGTAAATGAAATACTGGCATTTGACCGCTGTCCAAACTGCTGAGCAACCAGCATTTGAAACCCCAGCAAAAGTCCGCTTTTTTGACACCTGTTTCTTTGCGGTTTATAAAACACCGAGTTAAAACTTGGTCTCCGGCGGTTAATTAACCAGCATTTCGAAACCCAGCAAGAGCTGGTTTTTTTACAACTGGTTTCTTTGTGGATCATGAACCATCAGATTGAAACCTGGTGCCCGGCGGTTATTCAACCAGCATTTTATAATCACACTCCTTACTTTTTTTTGGTCCTCACATTATTTGTACTTGGTTTTTCATGTTTGGGTTGTGTATTGCCACTTTGACAAAATTAAACTCTTGTGGTATGATGGTAAACAATGTTGTGGATACCTCATACTAGGTTCTGTGTGCAACCTAATCACATAGTCATGTGACCGTATGGGGTTGGAGAACATAGACTGGGTAGCCTAGTGGTTAAGGCATCACATACGAGTTGTGTCCCTACACATGTAAGGGTCCTTGGTTTGAATCCAAGTCTAGTCACTACTTTTGGCTTCTTACGTCTTAACAGGTTATGAGCCCAGTTAGCGAAGCTGCAGTTGAAGTATACTAGGCCGGCACCCAGCCCTGGGATAGGGTTAAAACCTAGCATGTGGCATAGGGGGGTGTTGTGGATACCTCATACTAGGTTCTGTGTGCAACCTAATCACATAGTCATGTGACCGTATGGGGTTGGAGAACATAGACTGGGTAGCCTAGTGGTTAAGGCATCACATACGAGTTGTGTCCCTACACATGTAAGGGTCCTTGGTTTGAATCCAAGTCTAGTCACTACTTTTGGCTTCTTATGTCTTAACAAACAATACCTCGTTGACAAGCGATGTGAAATGAGGGAAGGGAGAGTGAGAATGAGAAAACTGATCAGTGGATGATCAGCCGCGGATCATCCACTGATTCAGACTTCACAATTTGTGGATGATCCGCCGCGGATCATCCACTGATTTGTACTTCACAACTTGTGAAGTAAAGATCATCTTGTGAGGTACAAATCTGCAAACTTCATGTTTGAGATTGTGAAGAAGAAAGAAAACTTTTCTTGATTCGGGCCCGGTTTTCGAAAAGGTTGTTGAATTATGTCTCACATCAAAGGAAAATCTTCCTTGGTTCCCAATTGATGAAGACATCTCATTCCTGGCATACTCTTCAAATTATTGAAGGAAGAACTTTACTCTTATCTGGAACTAACTCATCACTCATCATCAATGAAACCATTAGACAAATGTAATTATCTTTGAAACAATCTTTGATCTCAACTTAATCTGATACACATATCTTCCAGGTTTTGTTGAGCAGGGATCTGCTTTCATTTGTGTGGCTTGTCCCTCTAGCCGATTAATGCAACTGGGCTCAATCAGAAAACATGAACAATCTGCTGAACATCCAGATCGATTCAAAATATGGCTATCTAAAGAGGAAGCAGCCACGGTGGCGATTGAAAAACCCGACAAGGACCACACCAGTGAACTTGAGTCGTCAAGTGATCAGGAAGATCAAGTACCAGCGTACATCAGTGATTTCTCTGATGTTGATATGGATGATGATTTTGAAGCGCACTCAAAAGAATTGATTGATCTCTGGACTAAGGATCATACCGCCATTTTCAACACACCAGTGCACAGTCCCAATAGCAGTGAAGTTCACACTAGGGAGCCAAGTGTTCACAGCAGTGAAAATGAAGTTGATGATGATGTTGAACACAAGAGTCAATCTGACTTCGATGATAAGTACAACGGTGAAGCTGACATCGACAAAGATGATCCTTCCTGGGCTCCATTCTCAGGTCTTGAGGCATGTTCATATCTTTTCAAGTCAGCCTCTTGGTTTAACTAACTTGGGAATTCTGCTTCAGCAAGTGGTTGGATCACTTATCCTGGGATCAACAAGGACTACAATATCCTCGGAGCACTACAAAACCGTTCGCACTTTTGTCCAACTCTTGGGGCACATCTTCCGGCTTATAAGACCGTACAGGATCTTTGCAAACAATTGAAGAAACAATTTGATTTGAATGTTTGTGAGACACTCAGCCCTCTGGAAAAACCCTGCTTTGGCTTACAGGTCAAGGAGATCTTGAAGCAGGCAAGTTCTCGCAGCTTACTGCAACTCTCATAAGTTGTTGAACGTACACAAAACAAACTTTGTAGGAACTTGGAAATCCCTATGTTGCAAATGCTCTCAAGTTCATACCCGAGTTACCGGGTCCAACTGCACAAGTTTATCCCCTTTCTCAATCAAAGAAGTGGCGCAAGGAGCTTGATCAGGACCTGAGGGTGCAGATGATTGAACAAGAACACCGTCATTTCTGTCTGTACGAACCAGTTCAACTACAAAACCAAAGGATTGCAATTCCTTTTTACTTTTATAAATCCGGTGATGATGTCTTTGCAAAATGCGTATTTGCATTCCAAAATCTTGTGAAAGAAGGCAGACCCACAAAGATACGGACCGAGTTTCAACCTGTTTCTGTATTCAGCTCTGCGTTATTTACAACAATAAATGTGAAGACGTTTTGGAGAGTTTTTGAAGCAATAGAATTGTGCAATGGTCAACTCATGAAAGATAACTGCTGCAAATTCATGTATGGTGATTGTTTCCATATCTCTCACCATCCTTGATTGTTGGACTGATTGTTTGATTTGTAGCCAATAAAGAAGGCACTTTTGTTGAAGTACCATACATCAATCCCTGGCGAACAAAAGCAAAGGGTCAAATGATTCAACATATGCCTCTGGTATTATATCGCAATGACCTTTCCGGAAATGTTTCAAAACGATGGAATAAGCATATCGCTTTTTACTTTACTTTGGCAGGTCTACCTCCAAAGTTGGCAAATCAAGAATATAATTGCCATTTTGTGACGACTTCAAACAAGTCAGGTGCTTTCGAGTTGGCAGACCCTCTCATTGACAAACTGAAGTAAGCTCTTCTCTGAAATTGAATATGTTCCAGAATATATACTAAGAGTTTTATACAATGTGTTCTATCAGCAATATAATGACAGATGGTTTTGTGGCATATGCCCACAAGACCCAATCAGAAGTATTTGTTATGACAACAGTTCTCTGTCATCTAGGAGACCCGCCAATGCATGCAGAGATGACAAACATAATGAACCCACGGACCTCTCTCTCACCGTGTCGAATATGTAACTTGAAGGTCGAATCTCTGATGAAAAAACGTACAAAGGAGTACATATGTGATTTTGTTGGTATAGATGAAGCTGGAAATCAGGCACGCCATCTTTGACTCTAGTTGTATCATAAAACATTCACTAAACCTGATTTTGCTTTCAGGCATCCCTGCCAACGCGTGATTGGACAGCTACAAAGAACGGAACAAAGGATCTTTGGGGTCTTGCCCAGCTTCCAGGAACTATAACTCAATTTGAAAAACAATTGTCATCTCTTGGTCTGTGAGACGCTCAGAATGCTCCTTTTGTCAAACAAGCTCAGGATCTACATTGAAATTCAGGACTGCCTAAAGACAATATAGCTCACATGGGTCGTGAGCTGAATGAGCACTGTGGAGAGTGTTTGTTCAATCCATTCTTACACTTAAAAGGTTAGTCTCAATAATAATTTGTTTTTTGTTTAGTTTGTATCAATTCACATGAATCCCTTTTGTCAGGTTTTGATGGACATCGCGATACGCCGGTTGAGGTCTTGCATGCGGTATTATTAGGAACATCTAAGTACTTCTTACGACATCAGATGGATAGCTTCACCTCCGCTGAGAAGGAAAAAATATGGGGCCGTTGGAGGTCATTCAATACTTCTGGTCTAGATATTCCGGCAATTCAGCCCAAGAGTATGGTCCAACATTTCCAAAGCCTCACAGGAAAAGAGTTTTGTGTGGTATTGCAAGCCGCTCCTTTCATATTTTTTGAAACAAAGATGTCTGACAACAAACACGAGGCAACACTGCAACCGCTCCGCAACGCTATGGAATTTGGTCCCTCTCCATTGCGATGCGGAGCCTGCGCTATAAATCTCTCCGCAATGGGATCACTATATATCAATTTTTTTCCCTTCAAGGCTTGCGGAGCGATTGAAACGCTATATTTTCGCTGTATAGCGCGCTATAGTGGAAATCACTACATAGTGCGCTATAAGCAAATTGCTGTGTGATATTGCTATATTGTGGCATTTCATGATCAACTCCTCTGGAGTATATGTATAATGCAAGTTGAAAAATAAGTAATCAAACAGGAGATTCAAACAAAAAAGCTTACATTGAAGTTTTGAACCTGAATAAGGTGAATGAAGTAAATCGGGTGTCATAAAAAATGGTGATTCAAACAAAAGAAATCCAAAGATGAGTCTTGATTGATAGATTATAAGATGAGTTTCTGTTGATTGAATTTGAATTGAAGGTTATTGTAAAAGATGATGATTGATTTGATAAGTTTGAATTGTTTGAGGGTATGAGGTTAATTTGTTCTTAAACAATTTTAATTTGATTGCCGCTTTTGATGTTGAGAAATCTTCTTCAGCTATTGAAAAGATCTTGATTAACCTGAATCAAAGGTAATAAACAATTGGTAAACTTTCATCAACAGATGATCTATGTAGCATTGCCTTCATCTCCACTCACAAATATTGTAATCAACTTCTTTCAAATCTTGATCGGTTCTGCATATTCTAATCAAACCAATGATCTATATTGAGTTTTAGATGTATAATTTAATCCTACAATCACTATATTCACGTCTTTTGGTTGAGAGTCTTCAGGTAAAGAAGTTGAACCTACTGCAGTTTCTTTATCTTTAATCGAATTCAAGTTCCTTTTTGAATAGTTGCTTGATCTTCATTGGAAGAAAAACGAGGAGGATTGGCAATTGATTTGAACCTAAGACCAGGCAGTGTTAACTAGGAACAAAAACAACAGCCTCTTTAGAAGCGCCGCTATATAGCGGGGCAAACCCAGCCCCTTACCATTGCGGAGCGGGTTTGCCGCTATGGAATTTTTCACCTAGGCATTGCGGAGCGCAGTCACCGCTATGAACAGCGGTGGTATAGCGGCTCTCAAAAGCGCTCCGCAATCGCTCCGCAACCGCAATTGAAAGCGGAGCGGTTGCGGTATTGCACGAGGTGTGGAAAGCATTGGCGCACTTGTCTCCTTATATATTCCAGACTAAAATCAACAACATGGATTTGTATCTGAAGGAGCTGGATGTTCTAATCCAGATCTTCTTGAAGGCAGTGGTCAAACTTTCGGCTCAGTGGTGCAACAAGCCAAAGTTTCACATGTTGATTCACTTGTGCGACTGTATTCGACGTTTTGGACCACCATGTCTGTTTGCAACAGAAAAATCTGAATCGTATAATGGAAACACTTGCAGTGCTTCAATCCATTCAAATCACCTCAGTCCCGGCCGTGACATTGCAAATTCTTTGAATAGTTATAACACTACACAAAATATAATATTTTCTGGGCAGAAAATTAAATTATTGATACACAAAAATATTGAGAGGCCAGGAGAAGGGCAATAAATAAATAAAAATATGCATCTTGTTCCCTGCGGTGAGAGCTTCACTCTCCATATTTTTCCATATTTTTACAGTCCGTATTGATTAGTGTACTAACAATAAACCTTCATAATCATCCAATTACAACCTGTAACAAGCACTGAAATTTGGCTCATTAGTGTTTAGAGAAACTTTTGATACCTGAAAACACCTATAACTTTGTCAAATCTGCATCAAAACACTCGATTTTAAGTGCATTAGAAAGCTGAACTCTTTCTCTCAAACTTTCATAAGATCAAAAACTATGTAGCTAGTATGCCAATCATTCTATGGATCTGTATGTACAAAGGTATAAAAAAGGTGATATCTTTTTTAGCAGACCAGCATGCTGTGTGGTCCTATTATGAGCTATTTGGAGGACAATTCCAGCTTACCAATGCACCCAAAATCGAGCGTTTTGGACCGGAATTGAAAAAGTTATGAGTATTTTCAGAAATCAAAAGTTTCTCTAAACACTAATGAGCCAAATTTCAGTGCTTGTTACAGGTTGTGATTGGATGATTGTGGAGGTTTATTGTTAGTACACTTATCAATATGGACTGTAAAAATACGGAAAAATATGCACAGTGAAGTTCTCAACGCGGGGAACAAGATGCATTTTTTTTTCTTTTTTTGCTCTCCTCCTGGCCTCTCAATATTTTTGTGTATCAATAATTTAATTTTCTGCCCAGAAAATATTATCTTTCTTGTAGTGTAAACTGATAAGAGCCTTAAGTGCTGGAACAAAACGATATGATAAACAATTAAAATTGTACATTCAATCAGGATCAAAGATACAAGAGCTCTTTCGTAATAACAAGCGATTCCAAAAGGCTTTAGGGTACAACACTTCTTGGAATCAACCTGAAGAGATTCAAATAGGAAGTGAGGTCATATCTCTATTGATACTATTGATTAAGAATCTTTTTGACATCAAATTGTTTTCTATATGCTATAGAGACTAAAGAAATTCAGCCATCACAGCCAAGAGACATGATCCCTAATGAAATAATTGACACATTCAGCGCTAAGGACTGGAAAGTACTCGATTTGGTCACTCTCAAGAATCAACAAAGATTGAAAGAAAAGGTTCTTATTTCACACAACAACTCTTCATCTTGACCTGCAATGATTGCCTGTGTTCAAAGAATCTGGGGCACAGGAGGTTGCGTGGAGAAGCAAATCATAGTTGAAGCAACCCGCTGTCAATTGGGACAGGTCAGTGGATTTTACGGAATGCGCATAATGAAGGAAACCAATGCAGCCATGTGGATTAAAGTTGAGGTGAGTAATGATGAATTTGATATGCCTTATTATTAAATACTAACCATCAACCCGTACTCTTGCACATCTAGGATGTTGAAGGCATCATCAACGTCCAACACGATTGTTACCAAAGCAAATGTAGCGTCCAGAAGGTTTGACCGATCATGATAGAGCAAAGGGTGTCCAAAGGCTTGGAGTTTGACGTGGTTCACAAACCCACAAAAGACTTCATTATAAATTCTGGTGCTTTCTATTCCGCCGAGCTTCATCAGTCTGCAGCAAAGTTGAAATTTGACGATGTCAGTCCAGGGGATTATATTGCTGCAGTACAAACAGGCCTTGACAATTGGAAAGAAACAGTACAAAAAAAAGATGAGATCAAGGAGAAGAAACAACAGCGGGAGAGGAATAAGGTATTAGCAAACCAAACAGGTCAACCTCCAGCAAAGAAAAGCAGAACCCAGAAAAACAAAAACCCACAGTCTCAATCGCAAGCTCCTGTAGCTGGACCATCAAATTCCCAATTAATTGCTAGTTACTTGTCAAGTTCTCGACCTACACAAACGACCGGATGAAAACAGTGTGGGTTCATTTGTCAGCTCTTGAGTTGTAATTCAATAGAAATAAGACAGGAAGTGTCATTTATTAATCTTCTTTGAGCATAATAATTTGTAATCTACCAAAACTGAAAAAAAACATATTTATGGAGGTGTATCAAAAAAAGAAAGATACTACGGAAAGAAAGTTGCAATGTGTTAAAGCAGAACCCAAAAAGCCATCAAAGATATGTGAAGGAGACTCAATTTCTCAAAAAAGAGACCACAGAAAGAAAATCAAAATGTGTCAAAGCATAAACCAACAAAAGACCAAAAATGAAGAATTCACACGAACAATCAAAGAAAACAAGGCTATCCTCTCGTAAGACCAATTAAGACAAATAACATGCGTAAACAAATGAATAAATAAAGAGCTTATAAATCCACGTTTGGGAGACCACATGAAATGTGGTGCTTCAAGACTGCTGATTTACAATCTCAAAAAATCAGCAGTCCAACTTCTGTATTGAAGCACCACATTCATGAATTGTGGTGCTTCAAGACTGCTGACTTACAATCTCAAAAAATCAGCAGTCCAACTTCTGTATTGAAGCACCACATTCATGAATAGTGGTGCTTCAAGACTGCTGACTTACAATTATTTTTTGAAATTGTAAGGTATTGAAGCACCACTGAAGCACCACATTTATGACTTACGATTTCGAAAAATCTGCAGTCCAACTTCTGTTACTGCTGATTTACAATCTCAAAATATCAGCAGGCCAGCTTCTGGATTGAAGCACCACATTTGGGTGCCTCAAGGCTGCTGATTTACAATCTCAAAAACTCAGCAGTCTTTGGTAAAAATTATCTGATTTCATTCAATGATGACAACCTGTCTTCAATGCACAAAAAGTGGGTCATTCAGTGATGGATGAGATTGAACATGTCGTGTCCCGACCTGTGTCATGGGACATGACATCATTATGCAGTTTCACAGATGAATAAGCAGGACCAATCTTCAAACTCAAAGTATCTCCTTCAAACGCATTCTCTCTGTGTTCCACCTCATCCAGCCTTCATGCCTCAAAGCAAACGATACATGCCATATGGACGACCCACGGCTCCAAAGGGCAGTCCCCAAGAGACACACCTCAAAGGTGGATCTCGCAAACCTCAAGGTGGCATTGTTGGTCCAGGTTCTCGAGCATCTGGAAGTCAAGATCGCCTGACTCCCCAAGCTTCTAAACTTCAATCTCACCTTGCGGTGCAAGCTTCAAAAAACAAACAAGTACCAACCAAAATGCCCCTGAGTGGTTTGAAGAACAGCAAGACCAAACGACTTCCCAGGAAGGACGCCAAAGACAATCAGCGAGACTCCTTCCAAAATACAATCGACCAGCAAGATATTGATATGTTCAACGGTTGCAATGGTGGTTTGTCAAATGGTAGTAACCACAACTCACACGGAAATCAGCAAGACAACAATGATCCTCAAAATGATGAACATAGCCCCAGTACCATACTCAATAAAGGTAAGCATTGAAGCCGTTAGATCTAATGGACGCCTGTACTGATCTCATTTTACCAAAGGAAAAGGTAGAGTTACCAACCAAATGCAATCAAATTCACCTGAAGCAGATGGAGATGTTGTTTCTTTAACTTCTCACATGACAGGCCTAAAACTACAGTCATTCAATCAAGTGTTCAAAAACACAGAACTTGACGAAGAGCATATGATCATTGGTTGTAAAATTTGTAATGTAAGTCCAAAGATTCAGTTCAGCCACGTTTTATTGATACGATTGTATTCCAGGTCACTTCTCACAAGGATCAATTTCACACTCTTATCACAACAATGCTATTGCAGCGTCAAGAATTAGTCATCATATTTAACCGAATGGATTGCATTGAGAGCACCCCCAACAAAAGTTGACAAGCTTGTTCTGGTAACATTGCTTGGGAAGATCAAGATAATAGTGCTCCCAGGGTAATGTCACTTCATTTTTCTCTTTCCTATTCTGCTTTAAGTCTGACTTACTTCTCTTTTTCTGTCTGAATTTCAACTTGGTGATACATGCCAGGGTGCCTTGCGGACTCAGACATGGAAAAGCATCATGGATGGCAATGTTCAAGCGTATACCGCTAAGGAAAACAAAAAAAGGTGACACTTACCTCATCCTTATTTGCAAAAGTCGTGGTGTGTTTCAATTTTTTTATTCAACCACGCATGAGATCTATCCTAATAAAATGGATCTAGACTGGAATTCTATCGCATTCAAAGGCATGGAAGAAGCAATATCCGCCACCCGGCTACGGTGTAGATTCCACTGTCAAATCAACTCGTGCATTCACAACACTGTTGAACAATGTTCTAAAGGAGGTCAGAAAGGATTTTGAGGGAATAGTAAGCATCACATTTTGTGCTGGTCTCAGTGCATCATCTCAATCTGATCCTGTTCAGCTCCTCACAAATATTTACCTTCCGGACCGAGTAAACACGGCCAGCAACCTCAACGTACCCAAGCTCAACAATATCATCATTCAAGTGGGTTCCGTCCTCATTGTCTTTCTGCGCACATATTCAGCTGATTGGAAAACAACACTCTTGTATGTTATAATAGCTTCATCAAAAGAAACATTCATATGTGGGTGGTAAAGCCGTTGCTGAGGTTGAGATCCTCAAAAGGGTCAATCACCTGCAAAGATGTCGATACGCATGGCTGGTAAGTAAACTCTTGTCTCTTCAATTGACTAAAAATTTGATTCATAATTGATCTCTCTTACTTGCTTCTCAGAGGGTGCAGGCTATCCACTGGGGGTGGAATCGTCAAGATTATTGTAAAAGTGCTAAGTCCTTGTGGGCAGTTGTCAGCAACCAATTGGATAACTTACGGAATCAAAGCAGACGATACCGCTACGCGTAGGTTTTTCTTGTGAAATGACTAGAGCCCTTCGAATGATTCCTGAAACCCACTATTCTTAAATTACAGATTTTTTGTTGTGTGCATGACCAACGACTTGCTTCAAATTACCGGTAATAAGAACTTTACTCAAATGCAGAAGCTAAGTCATCGTTTTTCTTTGCCAACTCACGAATCCATCCAGGAATCAATACAAGAGTTGGAAGAAACTCATGGGCAACAGGTTGTAGACAATGAGATGTCATATGAGGAAGAAGTAGGTCAAAGAGATGAAGAATTGGAAAGAAACAAGGAAAGAAAAGAAGAGGAAGAAGAAGAGGAGGAAGAAGAGGAAGAAGAAGAAGAAGGATTAGATGAAGAAGAAGGATTAGATGAAGATGAAGGATTAGATGAAGATGAAGGATTAGAAGAAGATGAAGGATCAGAAGAAGATGAAGAGAACGAGTGAATTTGTGGACTGCTCTTGGGCATATAAATACCCCTTCTATATTAGCTTATGGTGAATTCTCAGTGGTGGTCTTTTTTGCTTGTTTCATTGTAAATTTTCCGTAGTTTTTTCCGCATAATTTTTTGTATCATCAGGAAGCTTTATTATAAGTATAGATAGCGTGCATGTGCAATGGAACTCTCTTAATTTGCTGTAAACAGTGAAGAGTCGCTGATTTGTGGGCATCAGAGTGAAAACAAACAAAAGTCAATCTGTGATTCTGCTACCAGGATCAACGTAACCATCAACCATGAAGCACCCGTTGAAAATTGGTTTGATAACCATATAGAGCTAGTTTGATAGCCATGTGAAATCATTTATCACTGTTTATCACTGGTTATCAAACCAGTTAAAAACCAGCTCTACAAGGTTTCAGATATCTTGTGTGGTTTGAAAACCCGCTTTAAACTGGTATTCAAACCAATTTGAAAGAATCTATTGAAACTCAAGACTCCTTGTAAAGGAAGTCTTAAGATGCCAGTAAACGGGCGTCAGTCTTTACGGCTCTGAACACCGAAGACAAGAATTGATCACACCTTAAGATGCCAGTAAACGGGCGTCAGTCTTTACGGCTCTGACCACCAAAGACAAGAATTGATCACACCTATTAAGGGTGAAAAGAAAATAACAAAGTACGCCACTTTGTTCCTCAGTGAACTGATTATAAATTTCATATAGCAGATGTATCTAACCTTAAGATGCCAGTAAACGGGCGTCAGTCTTTACGGCTCTGAACACCGAAGACAAGAATTGATCACACCTATTAAGGGTGAAAAGAAAATAACAAAGTCTGAATAGTAAGAGTGAAAGTGAGAAGTGAGAAAGATATTAATATTGATCTATTCGGATTGATGAATTAGATTATGAAATCCACTTACACGCCACTTTGTTCCTCAGTGAACTGATGAGGAAAAAGTGGCGATCGTGGGCGAGTGATCTTATTTAAATGTGATACAAAGGGAGGCTTAAGGTTAAGTTAACATAAACTAGGTTTGATAATTGTATGTAAATGTGATTGTGTTGTAAGATGTTTGATGTGTTTGATGATTTAGGTTGTATTCTGACACGCCCCCTCAAGCACATCAAACTTAGAAATAGATCAGGATTTTGAATTGTTAAAAGAATACTATCAGAAAAGAAAATAAGAAGAAAAGAAATGAAATGAAAGAGAAATAGAAATAAATAAAGCAAAGAAAATGATAAGGTACTTATGAAGTTGGCTCGCGATGGTGGAGTCCAATTGATTTTCTTAGCCACTGAAAAGGAGCTTTACCCAATGGCTTTGTCAGGACATCAGCAATCATCTTATGAGATTGGCAATGATGCAGTTCCACGGTTCCACGTTTCACTAATTCCCGAATCCAGTGATATTGGATTTCAATATGTTTAGTACGAGCGTGAAAGATGGTCTTTGATGTCAAGTGGATGGCCCCAAGGTTGTCACAGTGAAGACGGGTTGGTTGATTAATATGTAAGCCTAGTGATTTGAGCAGGTTTTGGAGCCATGTTGCTTCCTGTCCAGCCTTGGTTGTTGCACGATATTCGGCCTCTGTGCTAGATAACGCAACGGTTGGTTGAAGGCGGCTTTTCCAGCTGATTGCTCCACCTAATAGTTTGAAGACATATCCTGTAGTTGATCGGCGATTGTCCTTGTTACCAGCCCAGTCAGCGTCTGAGAAACCATAAGGGCAATCCCAAGATTGGTTGCCTGATAAACCTTTATCATCGGCGCTGTATTCAATGAACAGGTGAGTTGTCCCTCGTAAGTAGCGTAGGACATGAATAAGAGCATTCCAATGGGCACGTGAAGGTCGATCAAGATGTTGAGATAGTACGCCTACTGCATATGCGATATCAGGTCTAGTGCATTGTGACAAATACATTAATGATCCGACTCCGTTTCTGTAAGGTAGATTTTGTCGAGTGAAATATTGGAATTCAAGGTCATTAGCCCAAGTAAGCTTTTGATCAGCTGGGAGTGGTGTACTCGCTGGTTTACAGTTGCTCATACCAAATCTTTCCAGTACACTTTCAATCATAGCAGGCTGTCCTATTGCATATGAGAATTGAGATGTTCGACTTATTTGAATGCCTACAATGCAATGTGAAATGCCTAAGTCTTCCATTTCCCAGCGGTTAGCGATTAAGTTCTTGATTTCTCTTATTTCATTTCCGGTGATTGCCATGTCATCTACATGGACATATATTGCAGTAAATTTTGTTCCGTTCATTGAAATTCGTATGAATACACAAGCATCGGCCTCAGATTGAAGAAATCCAATTGATATTAAAAACTCAGTTACGTCGTCACTCCAGTACTTTGCTGATTGCTTCAGACGGTAGATTGTACTTGCTAAGCACGCAACCATATCATCACCGTATATCTCTATAAGATTCTCTGGTAGCTCCATGTATATTTCATAGTCGAGTTTGTTATTTAAGAAGGCGCAAATGGCATCCATTGATTCAATGGGCCATCCATTGAGAGCAGCAATAGCAATCATTACACGTAATGATGCAGGCTTGCCGGTTGGTGAATAGGTTTCGTGATAGTCGACTCCTGGAACTTGAGAGAATCCCTTAGCTACATATCGGGCTTTGAATTTTGCAACTGAACCGTCTAGATTTGGTTTGATTCGGAATACCCATCGACCACCCACAATCGATCTGTTCTTTGGACGCTTTACTATTGTCCATACCTTTCTATCATTAATTGATGCAAGTTCCTTGTTCATGGCCTTGATCCACTCTTCTTTCTCAGATGATTTCATAGCTTGTTTATAAGTCTTTGGTTCATTTACTAGTCTAACAGTTGGCATGGTACTGAATGCATAGGGTTCATCGTCGTCTCCTGCAATGAATGCATCAATATCAGCCCAGAAAGTGTGCTGAGTCGATGGCGTATATCGATCAGGGGCTTTTCTTGCTCTGGTTGATTGTCGGATCGCCGGTGGGGTATTATTAGAACGTTCATCATCTTTTGTGACTTCCAAAGGAGGTTCAGACTCCTTGGTTGTCTCAGATGGAATAGTTTCATGCACTGGGATGTCACCAGTGTCATCACACGGAGGTTCAGACTCCGGTATAACAACTGGATTTACATCAGGCCGAGTCGATTTGATGAGAGGATAGTCATCATCATTGAGATTGATGAAAGTTTCAAGTTTGGGATTTAAGTTCTTGAGGTCATTCAAGTCTTGTCTCGAGAATAAATTTTCATAATTGAATTTGATAGATTTTCTAAATGGGAATAGATCTTCACGGAATTTGACATCGTGGCATGTGATGATTTTCTTTGATTCCAGGTCGTAAATACAATAGTTGAAATTGTCGGTGACAAATCCAAGTAAGACTGCAGTACGAGTGATGGCGTTAAATTTTCCATCCCTTTGAGCTTTACGGATAATGTACTCGACACAGCAGCCAAAAGTCCGAATATGTGAAACGGATGGCTTCCTACCGTACCATGATTCAAAAGGTGTCATTTTACCATCGTTATATCCTGATGATAATGTACAATTGTCTAAATAGACTGTTGTATTTACAGCTTCAAAGCAGAAGCTGGGCGGCATATTTGCGTGTTGTAATAGGGCCCTTGCCTTGTAAGTGATCGTCTTATTAGCTCTTTCCGATACACCGTCTTGTTCAGGTGTGTATGCTGCTGTTTTGTGTAGCCAGATGCCTTGTTCACGACAATAAGGTATAAAGAGTGAGTTGAAGAATTCAGATCCCTGATCTAACGTGAAGCATTTGACCTTTTGTTCACTTTGACGCTCGGCAAAAGTTATAAAAGCAACTATAGCATTGAAAACAGATGTTTTATCTTTTGATTTCAGAAAATAAACAAATCGCATGCCGGTGAGATCATCGGTAAAGAGTATATAGTATGGATAATCATTGTTTATATAACCTCTGACAATACCGCTTAGATCAACATGTATATTTTCTAATTTATTTTGAGCACGTGGTCTGGAATGAGAAAATGGAGGCCTTTCACTTTTTGATTTTATACAAGCAATACAGTCCACAGGTTTAGAGAGATCACAATCTTCCGATACCCCTTCAATCATTTTATCTTTAATCATCTTTTGAAGATAGGTGAAATTAGGGTGGCCTAATCGATGATGAAGATTGATCAAACTGTCAGATTGAGTGATTATGTTTGAAGATGATGTCTGAGAGGGAAGTTGACGTACAGGACACTCGATTAATTTGATGATCATAAGGTTGCCTGAGAAGAAGCCTCGGAAAAGAATTTTCTTGCCGAGGTTGAGAGAGAATAATTGAGGTTTTGTCGGATTGATCGAGGGAACGACTCCCTTTTTGATGAGAGCACCTGCGGCGATCAAGTTCTTATTTAAATGAGGAACATACAGTGCATTTTCGAATTTCATTACGTTGCCATCAGCATCTAACAGGTAAGCAGTTCTGATCTTTTGAATCTCAAGGGTATTGTTACCACCGGCTAAATTAAGTCTTTTGCTGGGATCTGGATTGGGAGTGAGAGACTTTTGATCGAAGTGCTTTAAGTTATTGAACATATGGTGTGACGAGCCCGTATCAGCTAAACCGAATGAGTTACTCGGAATTTTGGCTTGTACAGCTTTGTTGCTACAGAAGTAGTCAATATGAAATACTGTTGGTTGACTATCGTCAGTTGAAACGGTCATTGAGTTCATCGCATCAGTCAGATTGTCCAGTTCTGTATCATTGTTGGTATCTTGTTGAACATTTGATGAATTTCGATGTTGAAATGTTTTAGATTGGCTGCTGGACTGTAAGTGATTTGGAACCTGACCTCTCCATCTCCCCTTCTTTATCAACTCCTTTTGCCATTTGATCTTTTTGTCCTGATTCTTCGGATTTTCGAAGCATTCATCTCTACCATATTTACATACACATCGATCAGCTGAGCATTTAGGTCGGGTGAATTGATTGTTTCGATTTATAGAATGAGCACC